GGAGAGAGAGAGAGTGGTGGAAAATCGGGGAGGAGGAATTTTACTTGGAGGAAATCTCATCGAGTGCGTCGCTCGGCTACCGTGTAAAAACTTGGAAGTCGGCCATCGGAGATGATAAAAAGTTTTCGTGGCCGGGACCAGTTCGAGGTGGCCTCGTGATTGGTGCGTCTGCCAGTTTTTACGCTCCCCGAACAATTTCGTTCCGTCGAGGATCGGACGAGGGGAATTCGCGGCACGTAGAGGACGCTTAGGAAAAACATTAAAAATCGCCGTCGGCGATATCATCCGCTTTTCTCTCTCTCTCTCTCTCTCTTCTTTTTAATCGCGCGTATTTGGCCCGAGGCCAGCCCCAGGCCAACCTTTAATTAAAGATTTCGAACGATCGAATCGGTCACGGATGTACCAACTATTCTCGTACTCGATCTATGTTCCAACTAATTATAGCAAGCTTGGTCGCGCCCTTTTAACCGGAACTTGTTACACCCTTCGCGCGCAGAGAGACAATTTTTCGTACACTTTTCTCTCTCTCTCTCTCTCTCTCCCTTCTTTTCCTTCTTTTTTCACGGAAACAATAAACCGTGGAATTCCTCCGAATTCTGTCGAATTCGGGAATCGAACGGGGTATACGGTGTTCGAGAGGCACGTTCGACCATTTCTGCGATTCAATAAAAAAAATAAAAAAAAGAACGTGTGCACGCAGTGAAATGCGCGAGTCCACGCGTTTTCAGGCTGAACAATAACGCGATATCCGGCCAAGCTATTTGATTAAAACGGATCATTGGAGCCGATATATCGCGAATTCAATTGGAACTCGTTTCGGTCCCTTTGCCATCCCCAACGCTCGTCCAATTACGAGTTAGAAAGAAATCGAGCCACCCTCCCCGCCCCCTGATTTCTCTCCTATCGGTTATCCTCCAGGAAATAGACCCTCCCCAACGCGTGGCCAAAATTCGTCCCTCCAATTTCCGGCTCGCGCTACCACCAGCAGAGAGCCTAGAAAATCGGCTCGAAATCCCCCGTGTCGAAATTGAGAGAAAGTCTCTATATCCACCTTCCATTTCACTTTCACGAAAAATTCCTCCTCCTCCTCCTCCTCTTCCCCCGTTTCAATCTACATCGTTAAAACACTTTTTAATCTTGGATCTTGGTCGTTTATCTCGTTTTCCAGTTTAGTCTCCCGCATTGCGTCGCGCATTCTCCACCCTTGTTTCGCGGGACTCGCGCGATCTATCGGCTATTATTTATCGATGACACGAATTCCACGCAGTCGGCGGTCGAAACATGCGGGGATAATGGAGTGGAAATCGAGGACCGCGGCATGCAAATTGCGTTTCCTCGCAGCGGCGATCATCAACGAAATTCTCGCGAAATCGCGGATCGAGTTATTATATTTTCTTCTCCAATGCCAATTGAATTCTCTAGAAAAGAATTCAATCGGAAGATATTTCTCAATCGAGGATATGAATAATCGCTTTTTTCACACGAGAGAATTGTCGCGAAGGAAATTCTTCTCTTCAAGAATCACTCTTAACGCAACTGAAAATTATACGCTGAAACTGTTTCAATTTGTCAATTCATTCTCGAAATTCATTAACGAAAAATAGAATCCGCGTTAGGTGGAGAGTCTCCGCCTTTAAATTCTCGCTTTAACCAACTCACTGTTTCGAACACCGGTTCGAAATGGACGGCGTTTATAGAACGTTGAAGGGAGAACGCGAGGGAGACAAAGGGGAGAAAAATAGGGGAGTGGATTGTGCAGAGCGCGCCAATTCAAATCCGCGATCCCTCCATCAAATTGCAAATCGAGCGGCGCTTAATCGCAAATTGGAAATCGCCGCGGGAGCTCGTATGACCGGCGCAAAATGCTCGGCGTTCGGCCTCTATCTATACGAAGGGGAGGGAGGAGATGGATGCCTCCTCCGCGTTTAACGTTATGCGAATTTTCGTTGAAAAATAGCACGGCCAGGGGAGAAAAAAATGGGGCTGGCGAGATAAACACGCGTCCGAGTTGATTCGATACGTGTGTACGATTTGCCAACTTTTTCGCGAAATTGATACAGACAGGCTTTTTATATCGCAATGATCGAGGCTCATCGATCGACCATCATGAATGTAATCTCGTTCTAAATTAATTTAGTCCATTTTATCATATAAGCAATTAGATTAGATTCAATAGGATATCGTTTGTTTCGAAAATATAATAATAATAATTACATCGAATCATTGGCTGGATATTGCTAAGAGATCCCTATTGTTGGAAATCCGATGTAGATTTGGCTAGATTTCTCGCTTAAGAGAAATTTACCAACTTTTCGCCTCCATTATCCTCCATTCGATTCGATTATTTACCTTATTTCCTCCATTTGTTGGTAATTGGCTGATAAACAATATTTATCGATCGAGAAATGCGCGCGCGATCTCCGCGAAATTTCGCGACTACTCGAGTGCGATAAGTGGTCGCGAGACCGCCTAACGAAATCGTGTCGCGCTTTAATTGCCTTTTCAATGCGCGCCCTCCAGTGATAGAAAAAAACCCGGAGGAAAATGTTGCAACGTGAATCTCGTGCACGTAATTAGCATCGCTTGTTCGATTATAATCCCACTGCTGGCAATTTGAAAAATTCTCATCTTCTTCCCCTTCAATCAAAAGTAAACCAACTTTTAATTCCGTTCCACTGGTAAATTCAAAACCTGGATATTCTCGAAATGAAGAAGAGGAATAAAATAGAATAGTATAGAATAGAACAGAAATAGAATAGAAATAAAAGACGCGGATTTCGTCGTTCCCCCTCGACGAAATCCCTCCCTCGAGAAACTTGGGGATGGAAGAAAAAAAAAAAAATCAACGAGTCGCGAAATCAGATAGGAAGGAGGGGAGGATTGTTGGATAATTTTTTGGGGAAATTAAGGATGGCGTACCGGTTAATTAATCGCGATAATCACTCGACGAGGGGGGAGGGTGGCCGGCACAGTCTGGCTTTCCCCTCGAGAGGTTTACGAGCGAAGGGACGGTGGACAAGGGAGGGCGAGAGAAATGAAAAGTTCTGCAAAGTTTGATATCGCTCTCCCCTCCCCCTTCGATATACAGCACGCACTTCCTGCGCGTGGCACGCACGCCGTAAACACGAAACCAGCCCTTTCGTCGCGAATCGAATCGACGCTGGGCACGCGATCCTTTCGTCTCCTTTGTCCATTCCTCCCCCTCCCCCTCTCCCTCCTCTTTCTTTTCCCCTCTACCTTTTCTCTGCCCTTTTTCTCGCGCGCACCGATAACTAACCGCGATCTTGAACGTCCTTTTCACCAATGAAATTTACTTAAGGTTTACTCAAGGATATCTTCGTATATTCGAATTTTTATAAATCCTTGTGCAAATTATTTATATATCCTTATGCATATTATTTGGAAAGAAAGAAGATTTACTCCTTACTGAAACTATCATCTTAGGTCCTAGTAAATGATCACGATTTCTTCTCAACGTTATTTTCAAAACGTTACAAGTTTAATCCTTATCCTGAAAAAAGAAATCGACAAACGCCTTCGTGAAATCTTCATTTCCGGAACGACTTCGACCAAACGAATCCAACAACTTTCAACAACGAAACAGTCGTCCGCTAAGTTGTCCCGGGGACAGAGTCGAGGGGCGGTGTTGGAAGTTCGAGCGATAAAATTGTGAAGGCGTGCCTCGCGGCTAATTCAATAACGCGTTACGTATAAAACGGTTGACGGAGTGGCCAAATAAAAGGCGAGCGGGGGTGGCGGATTGGAAAGCCAGGGGCGGTAATAAAGTTAGCGTTAGGTCCGGGTCGAGTTGGCCGGGAAATAAGATCAGAATGAGATGCGAATTCACGGGAGAGTTGCTATTTGCAATTTACTCACCTTGACGCGCAGAAGGTGCTGCAGACTTTGAGCTTGGCTGCTATTTAAGGGTGGATTGTCAGTCCCGAGACGCGCCACTGCAATCACGTTCTCTCGGGTCGCGTTGTACAGGAACAGCGTGCACACTGTCTGCAAATAAAATGTAGAAAAAAAAAAAAGGAAGGAAAGAAGAAATATGGTATATAAGTGTGTGTGTGTGTGTGTGTGTGTCATCTCCAACGCTATCTCGCATTATTAAGTTTCGCCTGGCGAGCGAGACCTGGTCTTCGCTTTATATTTCCGATCCGTCTCTCGAGATTTTTCTCGCCCTTCCCACGCGTGAATACTTGACGGCCAACGAGGGAACGGCTTAAAATTCGTTCGATTCCTGGATCGAAAAAAATCTTCTTTGCGTAATTTCGATTCGAGAAGAGAGATGGTTTGAAAATATCGGATCGTGTATGACGAATATATGGTAAAGTAAGGGTAAGACGTTTTACCTGATTGTTAACTTCTTCTCTCATGAAGTTATCGAGGGACGACACCGCGTCGAGGACGGTGAGATTATTGTGCCGTCGCAACAAACTCTCGTCCTTTTCGCTGTAGCCCAGGAACATGAAAACTCCGTGCGGTATAGAGTAAGCGTCTGCAGAGATTGCAAATCGAGAAGATTATTTATAAAGCTTCGTTAATGTTCGTTTGCGAGATCGCAATTACGAGTATTAATAATTAATTATTGAAAGAATCAACGTTCTAATATTTGAACGATATTCAAAGGATGGTATATTCACCGGGTGACGGCCGCATGCATATGAAACGGCCGCTGTAGCAAAGGCAGGGGCCGCGATGCGCCTGATACGCCGGTGCTTCGTGATTGTAGAAGGCGAAGTCTGTCTTGCAGGGCGATGAATCCACGCAGATCGTGTTGCAGATCAAAACTTCACCCTCGCCGCATTGGCACAACTCCGAACATTCCGGCTCATCCTCGCGATACAGCTGTACGAATCGAGGATGTTGGTTGGTTCAAAAGTAGTGCATAGCTCGGATCTAAATCTTTTTCCGGAATCGATTTGGTTCTACGACTTCGTTTTTTTTTTTTTTTTTTTTTCGTTCAAGATGAAAAGGATCAAAGTGATCCAGGAAGACGCGTTTCGAAATCTATCGTAGAATCGATAGAACGAACGATTAAAAAGTTTCTTTCTTCTTGTACTTCTTTTATTATATAGATTGTATGAATAATTTTATGAAAAATTTCCAATTTGAAGAGGAAATTTAAGGATTTTCCAGATATCGAATTCGGTAATTTTATTTTGTTATTTTGAAATTGATAATTGTAATGGAACACGATAATCGGGATACAACACGGCGCACCGTTTTAAAGATGAATGAGCCTGCTTCAAAAACACGTACACTGAATGTTAATTATCGCCGACGTTAATCGTGCCACTTCGAATTAAACTTTTCACTCCCCGATTCGACATTGTTGTTAATTCACGCACATCGATCGACGAGATAATGAACTTCCCTGGATTCGCAATTTTTCTTTCTTTTTTTTTTTTTTTTTTTCTTTTTCACCGCGCGAAACGGCATTAAAAGCTTGTTTATTATTTTCGACCGTGTTTCTTTTATTTTTGCACCAATTAAAAGGCTTTGCCCCGTGTTCCCGCTAAGCGTTCCCAGAGAACCAAACTCTCTCTGAAATCCTGTTCGCGTTACACCGTATACCGCGATTAAAACCAGCGAAACCGCACAATGGATATTTTTTAACAATGTTTGATTTTAATAAATGGTATCAAAGGTGGAAAAAAAAGCAATATAAACGTACGGAAATTGTTTAACGAATTAATAAAAGGATATTTTTTTGAATATTTACCGTATACTCTATTCGATGTATTTTACGTGTACGAATTTCAACGAGAGAGAGAGAGAGAGAGAGAAGAAAAAATAACATTTGATATTGTACGATCCCAACGTGACTCGACACATCTTAAAGGGAACAGACTTTAGAAATAAAGACCTTAAATCGATTCTTCCGCTAATCTCATTAGTGGTAAAACTCGATTAAACTCTGTTAAAATTAACGAAACCTTCGAATCGCTATAAGATCGAAAGCTCTTAATCTTCCCGTTTAATAAAAAAGGGCGATTTTTAAAAATAGCGACTCGATTCAACTTCTTTCTCGATTTCTCACATCTTCCTGGACATTCGTCCCTTCGATTACCGAGCTTTTTCGCCCGGTCGAACGCGAAAATACACAGATTGTCGACGAAACTCACCCTCTTCCCTTCGCCCTCCCTTATGTATTGGTGACTTTGCCTCGGCCTTTGAACCACACAGAAGCCTATAAAGAGACGAGAGCGCGAGGTTACAACGACGTTTCCTGGCAAACCGTTTTCCCCTTCCTCTCCTTTCCTCGCTCCTCCTCTTTCGTCGCCACGTTTCCTCCAGTTTCGAATCTTTTCTTTTACCTCCCTGTGTTTCAACCATCAGCCGTGCCTCGCGCTTTGTAACGTTCGGCAAACGGGGCGAAACGAAAATTCCTCGTCGCGCCGCGTGTCCCGAACAGAATCCCTCCTCGGATCCTTCAAACGGATCAAAGCAGTTCCACCACATTTTCCTATTCGACGAAATACCGCACGCATCCATCCCCACCATTTTTCCATCCCCGAGATTTCAATATCCGGTTTTTGGCAATTCCTATTCACCCTCACAAGTGAATTCCAAATTGTTCCAACGAAAGGAGGACTGTTGTTCGAGTATCTCGAGAGAGATAGAGAGAGAGAAGAGAGAGAGGAGACTGGTTTGTACACACACACATATATATATATATATATAGGAAGGGAAGGAGTGTACTTACGAGGCGGCGTAGTGGTGGTGGTGGTAGTGGTGGGTGTGGTACTAATGGTGGTGCTGCTAGTCGTGGTGATTTCCCAAGTTTCCGTGGGTTCGGTGGTCGTCCACCTCGTCACTTCCGGTATTTGATTATCCTCTACTTGCTCGACCACGGCGGTGACCGTCGTTGTGCTAACCGGCGACTTGGTCGTCGACAAGACGGTAGTCGTCGTGGTCCTCGGATAATGATGGTGTTTCCTTCTCGCGTGGTAATCCTTCTGGGACTCGACTGGAAACCATCGACCGACCGATTTCTATCGAACTTTGTCTCGATCGAGAACTTCGCGTTTCAACTCTTGGAGGCGAAGAAAAGAAGAAAAATAGAAATGATGGAAAATCGAAAGATTTCAGAGACGCGAATCGTCGTTGGTCCAGGTTAATTTGCATTCAGCCCCCGTTTATCGGTCGAAACCGCTCCGACCTACAACATTCCCTATCGGAGATCGACGAAGGACGATCGAGGCGGGGATCGATCCAGTCGACACACGTGTAGATCCGCTTCTCGGCCGAGAATGCAATTTCTTCATATCTAAATGACTTATCTGCCGCCGGCTGAATGCCGGCCATCGTCAGCTTTTGCTACACGGTAACAGATGTAACATCGATAAAAGGGCCCCGTTTCTCGCCCCTCTTTCGATCCGAAATAGCGAATTCGAATCTCGATGATCGTTCAAACCGGAACATCGTGAACATCGCCTTTATGCTCTCTAATCTCAAGGATAAGTTCGCGCGATTCCATTTGCTCTATTGTTATCTCGTTTACTTACGTAAAATTCGAAATTCTTTTAACAATTCGAGATATTGAAATTTCGTAAGAACAATGTTCGAGTTAACGTGTTCATTGAAAGTTATTTCTAACAAGAACAAGACAAGCAAGACGATTATACAGCAGAGAGACGCATCGTAAAGATATACAAAAAGCAATTATAATCCAAGATAAGAATTGGTTTATGATTATTCGTCACGTTTTCCGATAAACGGCCGAATTTTACATGTTTAATCGGAGACAAGGGTGGATGATAGAAGAATAAGAGAAGAGCACGTAGCGAAGGAATCGGCTCTGTCATCGCGGAGATATTAATCGTCCCAGATATTAATCACCGTACGATGATGCTGGCACATCGTATTGTCCCGTATGCTTCGCTATTCTTCTCGAGCAAAATATTTAATCTTAGCCGGATAATTTTATCGCAGGGGATGCTCGAAACTTCTCTTCGAATGATCATCATGGTAGTTGATTCGAAGATATCCAACGAATCGTATTCCATTTCCAACGATACTCTCGAATAAATTAAGTCGTAATTTTAAGTAAATACGAGCGAATTTATTATCGTATTAATTGAATTAATTTTAAAAAATTGTGCTCACCCACGCAGGGATTGACCCAGAGGAGCCTCTGCCATCCCAGACAGTCGTAAAGTTGCGTGAGCTCCGTGCCCTTGCACGCGCAGTTCGACCGCAATTCCGTGCCAAGGATGCCCAGCATCGCTTTCCTGCATTCCGCAGTTGGACCGGCACACTTCTTTGTTACGCTATCCACAGCGCAATTTTGCTCGTAGTACTCCAATTTCGCCCTTCAAGCAGCACAGTAATTGGGTTGAGTGCGTGCAATTACTCGTTAGCCGGTATTAAAGTCTAAAAACGAGCGCCGCGAATATTCGATACACGGAGAAAAAGCAAATCTTTTAGATTAGAAATTTTAATTTGGAATCGTTTGGATTGTCTCTAACTACCCGTGGATCTAATCGAAAATGCACGTGTTCCCGTGGCAAGAACTCGTTCGAGAATTCGATTCTTCTTGGAGAATGATTCAATCAAAACCACGTTGTTACGTAGTGTCGTGCTCGTCGCACGCGTCTCTATCTGGTGGCGGTGTTTCGATCGCGTAAAGTGCGACGAACGAAGACGAGTTCGTTTACGTAAGTCTAATTATAGATTCGAGAATTTCCCTTGTTCCCTTATCCTGTACACACGCGATAATTATGACAAACTCACGGGTCGTGTGATGAATTATTCGGACGCGAGTACAAAACACGTGGATAATCCTTCGTTCGTTCGATTTTGCGATTATTAAAGCCGTTTAAACAGGGCCTCGTTATATAAAAATTGGCAAATTATATAACGCGTCGAACGATTAAAGAATATATTCAACGTGTTGAAAAAGGTGGAAATTGTGGTGACGGTAGTGGTAGTGGTGATGATAAATCAATTGAAATGCGTAATTCAATCGTATCGCAAACACAATCGACACCGGATGCGCCCCAATATTTTCATTCTCATAAACGTTCCCAGAGGCGGCGGCGCGCTATTCCTTTTCAATTCGAAAATTTTCAATCGAGTTAATCAATCGGCCCGATTTTAATTAGAGCCCGCTAATAGATTGCCGATAAATAGATTCATTCGGCCTTTTCAACCGATCTCACCCCCTTTCAATTTCTATGGTTTCCATGGTATCGTTCGACCGATCCAACTGTTATTCGAAATTTCAACGGGCGGCCGGACCAACGCCTTTTTCTTAGCAACCAAGTGTTTCATTACACGGCAAGACTGGATCAAGCCACGTCTCGTTGACTCGCAATTTAACTTTCAAATTGAAACGAGCACTTCTCTCGCAGCCATGGCCAAGGCGACAGAAAAAAAGAAGAAGAAAAAAAAAGGACGTTTAATCAAAAGATTTATTCAGACCCGTGATATAATCTGGTCGTAGTTGTCGCTCGCGATAAACGATCGAGTAAAATCGTTTCGAACCACGAAATTATGATTATTAATTCATCGAGAAAGAGAGAGAGAGAGAGAGAGAGAGAGAGAGAGAGAGAGAGAGAGGAGGAGAGGAGGAGAGAAGAAGAGTATTATTACT